CCCCCGCCCCCCCCCGCCGCCCCCGTGTCTCTAACTTTTATGTGCTTATGAATCCCCTGGGAATCTTGTGAAAACGCAGAAGCTGATTGAGTAGGGTGGGCTGGGGAGATGGGGGACTTGAGAGTCGCATTTCTAATGAGGTTCCTGTGTGCTGCTGCTGCTGTTCTGAGGTCCCTGCTCTCAGGCTGTAGGTGACATTCCTCAGGCCAGAGACAGGTCAGGGTCTACTGTGGTCTCTCCCTGGGTCCCTCAAGGGTGACAAACACTGATGGTCTGTACAGGCCTGCCCTCCTCTTCTCCTGGGCAGACATTACCAATCCATCCCAGTGCTCTTTCCTCTTGTATGTGGCAATCGTCTCACATTCCTTCTCAGCAAGCTGCCAAGTATCCCTGGGATGGGAACAATCTGCCATCCAAGTTTTGGATGAAATAAGTACACAATCTCAGCTTGAGATCAACTGGGTACATCAGAAATCTGATGGGCAAAAGAGGGTTCTACTGAAAAGGTTTTGTGAACAGTACTGAAACTATCTCCCCTACCGTGGACCGCCCCCCTCCATGGTACCCAGTAAGCGTCTGGAAGGCCTCAGCTGTCAAATGTTGTTTTTATTTTGGAAGCATAATGTAAAGTCATTGTTTTTATCCCCAGACCATGGTTCTGGTACTCAGATTCACTTTGGGAAAATTAGCCCTGGGGAGGAGTTTTAGAAAAAGTAGATTTTGCCAGAGGGTGGGTGGAGGAATCTGGAAAGTTCTGGAACTTGGGATGTAGTGGAAGGAGAGAAAGGAAGGCAGCTGAAGGAAAGTAGTCTCCAAAGGGGAAATGTGGAAACAAAAAGGGTTGCAAAAAGAGATAAAGGCTTAACTTCTCTGCTTTACAGTCTTATTCAGGATCAACTCTGCCTCAAGTTCCTAAAATATCCTGGAGAAATGGGGGTAAATATTATAATCTCCATTGATAAAATAGGAGTGAAAAGTGGACTCACCCAATGTGTTGACTCTTGGGCTGATCCCACCCCATAGGGACCCCTCAGGCCAGGCTCCCCGAGTCTGACTTGCACCCACCCAGAGCCCTCGCTGAACTGGAGCTGCCTCCACAGTGATTCTGTCTGGGAGGAAGGGCAAACTGGGAGTCATGGCTCTGTCTGGGATGATGGGTGTCACTGGGGTAAGTTAGCTTGGCCACAGTCAGCTGTCCCAAGAGACGCTCACTGAAGTGTGCTCCAGAGGCGAGAGGTGAGCCATACTCTGTCTTCCTCCTGGATCCCTATTGCTGTCCCCTCCAGCCCAGGACTACACTGCCATCTGTGCTGGGGTTATAGTGCCATGCGCCAAGCCGCTGGGGACACCTGACTCCTTGGGGGAGCTAGAAAAGGCCACAGAGTTAGAGACTTTTTTTACAAATGGGAAACAGAGGTGCTGAACTTTCAGGGCCACATGAATATTTAGTAACAAGAGTGGAAAGCAGGAGACTCTCGATACCACCTGTGTTTTGAGGTCTAGCACCCTCTCCTCAGCTTTCTTTGCTCCGAAATGGAAGCTTTTCTGTAACTCTTGACTCAAAGAGGAATCGGTGGCACCAACTGATGAACACAAACACACACACACACACACACACACACACACACACACACACACCCCTCACACGGATTTCAGACTTACACAACCTAAATATTTTGTGAATTCATAAGCCCAGGAATCTTAGAACAACAACAACAAAACAGTATCTAGATATCAGCGTCCCACTAAATCACAGGTACACCTCTTTAAAGGTGTAAGAGCTGGTACATCTCAGGAGTTGTAGAGGAGATGTGGGAGGGGCATTTATGGACAAATAATAAGTTTACTTTGGCTAGAAGTCTTAAGGATGCTGTGTAATCAACCTTCTTTGGGCCTGCGTTGCTCCTTCCCCAAATCTGTTCTGGCCTCGGTAAGGTCCCATAGTAGCAAGTAAAACCCACTGGTCTGGAACACTCCTTGGAACTCTCAGCCTCTAAGAGTTGAGGTTCATGAAATTCTCCTTCTTGGGATTCTGAAGGAAGTCAACTGTGTAATAATCTAGGGATTATTCTCTTAATACTCTGGTTGAACAAATGAACGAAAGACCAAGCAAACAGATGAATGTGTGTTTGAAAACAAGCCTCTTACACCCAACAGAAAGTCTTCAAGGGTTTAGTCTTTAGCTGTTAGACTAAAGGAATAGGGCTGGGGCAGAGAAATGAGGATAGGTTAGTTCAAAACACCACCACCAACAACAAAACACCCATAAATAAAAACAAAACAAAAATGAAGAAAGTCAGGGGCTTCCCTGGTGGCGCAGTGGTTGAGAGTCCGCCTGCCGATGCAGGGGACACGGGTTCGTGCCCCGGTCCGGGAAGATCCCGCATGACGCGGAGCGGTTGGGCCCGTGAGCCATGGCTGCTGTGCCTGCGCATCCGGAGCCTGTGCTCCGCAACGGGAGAGGCCACAACAGTGAGAGGCCCGCG